GCGCATCCTTGTGCACAGCACTTTCTTCCCCAAAGTGACTCTCTTCAGGGATATAAAGTTATATAGTTACACGACAAAGAGACAATGGGCACTATTAGTATTAGAAATTGCGACATAAAATGATGTCAACGGGAAACGTCCTTCAAACCGAGTATCTAGCCATTTAACCTGCTTGGCGTTACTTCACCGTAAGACATAAACCAAACTGTACTTGTTATGTTCTTTCTTTCTTTTTCTTTCTTTCTTTCTTTCTTTCTTTCTTTCTTTCTTTCTTTCTTTCTTCCGTTCAAACTTTCGATTTTCCTACAATTCTTCTTGATAATGCAATATCTTTCACTGTTGTCCCTATTCAGCGCCACTCTCTTCCTTTCTCTCTCTTTCTCTTTCTTCTTATCTTTTTCCTTTATAGCCTCACTCCTTCTCCCCCCCCCCCCCACACACCCACACACACACACACTCTCTCTCTCTCTCTCTCTCTCTCTCTCTCTCTCTCTCTCTCTCTCTCTTTCTCTCTGTGTGTTTGTGTGTCTGTCTCTACGTTTAGTGGCAGGTCCTGTCAGTTTGACCATCTCACTCACAACCTGAATAGGCCTATATGTAGGGTACAAGTAGACATGGCGTACACGCTTAAGAAATACATAATTATAAATGGTTGCACAATTAAAAAGGTCATTATCAATGTAAAAAACCTATAATCGTAGTCTACTCTACTCAAGGTTGTAAGTCCACCCCTCCTCCCTCACTACAGGGCGCTGCACAGTGGCGACCGGCAGTGGCATTGTTTGTAAACTGTTCTGTATTTGTGTAACAGTGTGTATTTATGTATGTATTTATGCATGTATGTAATTGTGTATGTACGTATTTATAATTATGTATTTATGTATGTATGTTTGCCATTGTAAAACAAAGTGCCCTTCTGGGACAAATAAAAGTGTAATTTATTATTATTATTATTATTATTATTATTAAAAAGAATAAACAAATAACCCGACAGAAACGCATACAGCTTTACCAAAAAGGAAAATACCTTTTTGACATTTATTTATTGTTAGATTTTTAAAAGGGTACTTTTCCGGTTCTGGGCACAAGGGCCAACACAGTACTCTTCAGATAACCAGATTGTTTATATTTACATATATATATATATATATATATATATATATATATATATATATATATATATATATATATATTTGTATATATACTAAATGGTCGCCATCCATGTTCCGCTGCCCCTCCTCAATACATACACACATTTTTAAAAAGTAGATGTTTTTACATGGACACAATTTAGATAATTAAGAGGCGAGTTTCGACCCTACCTGTCAGGGCCAACCCAAGCCGAGAAGGATACGACATGCCGGTAAAGAGATCGAGGCACTGGATAGAAATCACCCCCCCCCCCCCTCCTCGGGAATCGAATTCCGCCCTCTTGCGTGAGCCGGCCAAGTGCCTTACCGCTACACCACAGGCCCCTGTCACATTGTTTAATACTAAGGAAGGAAAAAAAAACGAAGAAAATACAGTCGAACATGTTGCTCCAACGTCGACCTATCCAAGACAATAGCCTGTACCAACGGTCACTTCCCACTTCCTCTATTGCGTTCATTTCTATACATGTGTCACAACCCAGTGGAATCAGGGTCTCGTAAATCTTTAGGCATGTAAGAGTTATAGATATTGTCTTAAAGCTTGCTCAGTTGTTTTGCTTTGGGTGAAAAAAATATCCATTTATCTGGAATACAAGTCGAGATATTTGCGCATGTAGGAGGTAGGATCACCTGGTTTCAGAGGTAGACTTAGTGAAAAAATGGTCGCCTAAGATTAGTTATTTTCTTAACAGGAGAGTCCGTGGAAACTGAAAATTTACAAATCCCCCCCCCCCCCCTTAGTTAACATTTTTTCGGAAAAATTCACACAGAAACATGTTCTGCAATGGGCATGAAAGGCGTTAACCCCAAAAACAAAAATTAGATACAAATTCCCAAACCTGCGGGAAAATGCCAGTTTCTTCACTTTGGTTATTTTGACGAGCGCCTGATTTCACAACACTGCCTCACACATTATAATGACACTGTCCAAAACATCCACCTGTCTAAGACAACCACTTTTCTCCTCGACAACATGTGGCTGTTTTGGTCAGTTTCGACTGTACTTTACAATAATCCCCAACACCATAAATATCTTACTCCTAATATCTAGCACTGCAAAAGATCTTAACCTCGAGGCAAAAATTTAATTAACTTTGATAAGGGGTTCTCATCGTCCAGGGGTACGGTGCTCGCCTCTCATTCAATAGGTCCTGGGTTCGAAACCTGAGAGCGACAGAAAATTATATTCTTTCAAATTTCTCATTTCACTTCATTTCCTGCTCTCTAACCATGTTCTGTTGTCTGCTTCCGTCTCCACTATCTCTACCCCCCCCCCTCCTTTTTGTTCGCTCCTCTGGACCCATGACTCTTTCTGTAGTCTTTCTACCGCTATTTCTTGGCTCCTTCTTACTGCTGTATTTCAGCCTCATTCCTGATCTTAGGGTAGGTAAGATCTAACTCATAACTTTCTCAGAAAAGAGTGAAACAATTTCGGAGGTTCGGGTGCAAGTTGCGAATGTTAAAGACGCCTTGGTGGTCCTAAGATCGATAAGAGTAGGCTTCGGCTGCGACCCAGGCAAACTTCAAAATCAATTCCTCCCAGACTGAAATTAATGCTTAATATGCCCCACGCACTCATGTGACCTGATGCAGTTGCGAGCACCGTAAAACACTTACCAAAAACAACCCCCTTCCTAATAACTTAGAACGAAAAGTTACTCGTCCTACAACAAGAAAGGACTATTTCTTTAAGGCCGTGGTATAGTGTCGCAAGTGCTAAAAAAATTCGAGTACAAGCGCATACCATAACTCGGACATTAATTTGCAGAAACGGCCAATCAAACCAGCTGTAGTCGGTTAGGTCGTCCAGTGTGTTACCGACGGCTTGGTTTGGTAAACGTTTTAGGCGCTCGAAAAAAGTATGAAGTCATATGAGCGTGCGTGAAACAAGTTGGTTGTCTTCACGTTAGTTCACAGTATAATACCTTAGTTTTACTTTATAGTTGAGGTAAAACATTTCATGGTAAAAATTCAGTAGTCAAAGCTGTCATTTACATTTTACAAATAGTATCATCTACACCTTTGAGTAAAGAGCAATGATCAGGGTATATAGAAAATCATGTTGGGATCAACGGTGCAGAACACACATTCTTCAAGTTAGTACATTTAAAATTATCTTCTTCGGGTCTCTCCAAAGTCTGGACATCCTATCAGGGTGGGCCTGATAGTAAAATCGGTATCACGTCCAACACAAAATGGTTTTTCATCTCCACGCAAGAGATATCTATAAAAATACCCAGTGACAATATTAGGAGAAGTAAGAAATGAAATACCAAGAAATTGATAACGGCAGTATTGTGAGTATTATGATTAAAAAAGTAACCTTCCCAGTTGCATAGCAACAAGAAATACGTACAGCCAATGCTAACATAACAGTAATTACTGTCGCAAGCAGCGTACTCTTGTCCGTGGCAACCCCAGAAAACAGAAAACACCTGTGGGCCAGTGAAAACTGATATTTAGATTTCCGCCAGTATTGTCGGTGTTTCCGGTTATGTATCAATTTTCTATCCAGTCCCTAGAAAAAGGGGGTGGGGCAAGGGTTGAGGGTAGGGGTGGGTGGGGGTGGGTGTGTAGTTTTGATGTTTCCTTAGAAAACTTCGTGTTCTTTTTCTTGTAGCCTAACGCCTGCTTTCCCAATCGCCAACCCACTTTTTTCTTTTTCTTTTGCCTCTATCTCCACCCTTTTTTCTCTACCTTCCACCCTCTCACTCTCTCTATTTCTTTCTTTCTTTCTCTCTCTCTCTCTCTCTCTCTCTCTCTCTCTCTCTCTCTCTCTCTCGCTCTCACAATCTCTTTTAGCAGGAGCATTGCGCTCTTGGTAGGGTGATTTGATTTTTATTTTGATTGTCTGCTCTTCCTCTGAAGTCTGTCAATTCATACACGTTTGGGTTTGCCAGAGTAAAATACTTGGAGAAATCAGTGACAGAAACTATCACATGAATTCCTCGCTCTGATTGCATTTTCCTGGCATGCCCTGAGAGATGGAGGGTATCTTGCCGTGTCAGAGATGTAGTTGGACCACATTGGTTTGGTTTTACACCTCGTACACACACACATTCACACACACACACACACGCGC